ATTTAAAAGTGAGAAAATTTGCCCCCTAGTGACGTCATTTGGCGGCATTTCCCATTTAAACACATATATGTATTTCAGCAGAATCGGCTATTTTGTCGCATCTCCTCTAATAATTGCTCAATTGATGCATCAAAGGTATCTTCGTGTTTAGTTCACTCAGTAGGTTCCACTTCAACACGAAATTCATCAAATTTCGGACCCTTGCATATTCTCTATTGGTAAATATTCTTCTCCGAATTTTGTAGAAAATCCAATTTGCTTTTTAGTCCACTGTATCTGAAAGTTTCACGGAAAAATATTTGTAGTTTTCCTCAAAAATTAATATTTTATACAGCAATATTTGGCAATATCCGAATGTTCATAAGGCGTTTTTCCTTAGGACAGCAGTATGGGTGAACTTTTCTGACGTCACGCGGCATTGATTGTGACATCAGTAATAAATCGCACCCTTACACACAGAGGCCAGCATTGTCTGATCCATCAGTCTAAAACCGTCTCTGAGTCAAAAGTTGTTTAGTGGAAAACAGCATGAGGGGAGCACTCACGTTGCTGACCTCACCGTTCACTTGTAAACGGTGAATGGGTTTGAACTTAAATTCAAAATTAACCTTTATACGACTTAAAAACAAATCATCAAAAGGTGTGAATAAGTTGCTGCGATTTGGACAAAAGTTATATCGCACGTAGTACAATACGCCGATACGGAGATCGTCTGATTATTATATAGAAGATATGATACCACTATTCGACCACGTGGGAGCTTTTATTGCCTACACTAAAAATTGAAGGAAAACTGATATGGGAGATAAGTAGCCTCTTACGGTAGTGAGAAGATATTTTTGTGTGTGTTCGGAATAAGCGTACAATGTCACGACAACACCACTGTTCTACTTCTTTATTTTCATCTCTTCTTCCTCTTTTACTCATCTTCATCTTCTTTCTCGTAACAAATCCTGTAACTAAATTGCAGAGGAGCGAATGTCCGCAGTTGTTAAGACACCTCTATAAAAATAAATATATTTACTACTACTTCTACTAATATAATACTACAATCCTACTTTATTTTCTCTTCCTTTTCTCTCTCTCTCTCTCTTCCTCATCCTCTTCAGTTTCTTACGTTCTTTTATATCTCTGTTCTTATGTGTCTTTTTACATCTTCTTGTTCTACATATCTCTCTCTTCTTCTCCATCTCTCCCTTTTCTTCTTCATTCCTCCCTTTTCTTCTTCATTCCTCCCTTTTCTTCTTCATTCCTCCCTTTTCTTCTTCATTCCTCCCTTTTCTTCTTCATTCCTCCCTTTTCTTCTTTATCTCTCTCATCTTCTACCATTCTTTCTCTTTATTCCTCTCTCTTTTATCCAATTTTTCACGTTTTCTACTTCCTCATCCTTTCTTCGTCTCCTTTTCCTTATCCTCTTTTTCCCTTTTCCGACCTTGGTTTAATCATCGGCATAAAAAGCACCGCTGGAATTAAGTTATGGTATAAGAAATACAATCGAAGCTTCAGTTTGTGTCGCATGCGACGGATACCTTTGAATTTCATTATAACGCCTGGATAAAACTATTTGGGCTCCATGGATGTCTGTGTTGCGTCCGCACAGATTGAAGGCGTTTTGACTTCAAACACAAACCACCTCACCAGCGCGCAGGAAAGCGAGTCAATGAGAGGAGTCAATCAAAAAGTGGAAATATTTAAAGGTTATATCGATATCAATACGGAACGGTTTTAGAAATGCTTTCACTGATTTTCTCTTAAAAGTTAACCCTTCACGATGCACCCAATTTAATTCACAAACTGAGGAAATTAACACCAAAATTTGCAGGTGTAGTCAAAAATTTCATGTTCAACCTCTCGAGTGCGTTCAATTCCTCATTGATACTTCGAAAACATTTTTAGGCATGAATAGTTATGGCGCAAATAATGAGTAGAGCACATCGCGATTTCAAAAGTGAAGCACAAAAGATACCTACACAAATCCTACGCCTGTGTACAAATATTCGTGCCTGGGAGATATGTCTGTATTTTATGCGAAAAATTGAAAGCGCTCTGTCTTTTTGGATCATCCTCATCGTGGTAAAACTCGAAGTTAGAGCGGCGCGTGCCTGGACAGTCAAAACGCCTTCAACTCTGTGCGCATGCAACACGGACATCCGTAGAGTTCGAATAGTTGCATCCAGGAGTTACTTAAAATGAAAGGTTCATTTCATACTGTTCGTCGCACTCGATATTAGCTGAGGGCGCTTTGTTTGTTTCTTTCGCAACGTGACTTAATTCAAGCGTTGCCTCTCGTGCCGATGAAGTAAACTTTTACTGATTTTCATCACGACATAGTCCATTTTCCGAATAATGCATTGATTGATGGAATCTATAACAACACTACCGTCATGCCATGTGGGGTACGCCACTAACTTCTCTGATCTAGGAATGACGAAAAAATGTTCACTTCGAGAAAAAATCGAGCTCGCATCTCAACAGATTTGTATTTTCTTTCGCGGAAGAGTTAGAAAAAAGGCCAATCAGCTAACAATAAGTAGGAATCAAGCTAAAGAGTCCGGTGCGGCAGGCGGCAGGGCCTTAGCTTTGTAGAAAATATGTCCAACATTACTGATTGGTTCGGATCGGAACACGAGTGGATATATAGATCATTAAAAAATTTGAATAGGTCGAAACGTTCTAACAAATATTATAGTGTCTACAACTAATTTGCCGACAGGGACCATCTGCGGGCTGATTATTGAAATTGATAGACAAAGCAATAGACAAAGAAGTCGTAAGGAGTATGGAGCGATCCTACCATTGGTGGAAGCGGGTGGTTCCAATGGACAAAGGAGGTGGTTAATAGAATAGCTAACGGCAACCCACGAGAGATCCTGTAGTTAGTACATCATTTTCCCCCTTATGGTCTCTAACAACCACCCAAATCAGCCAATAGGATCGCTCCATGTTCCCTATGTCTTCTTTGTCTATCAATTTCAATAATCAGCCCGCTGACTAATATTATTTTCCCTCCCTTAAAAATCCCGTATGGAAAAACAAAAATAATTGGTTTTCATACGCAGAAATAAAGATATGCTGACAAGCAGACAAGCATCTTGAACTATTGCTATAGAGATACCGTGAGTGCAGGGCCGGATGTACCTACTTGCCGCCCATGGGCCGCCTGTATTTTGCCGCCCCCTTCTCATTCGTTTTGAAACATCAATAAAAACCATTAAGTGAACGTGCCGGAGGGGGAGAGGTGCATAAGACACGTTTACCTACTCGTGTTGGATACATTTTTTGCGAAAGCCCTGTCAACACTACTAGCAAAATTTCACGGAACTTTGTGCGAAAGTTAAGTTCCGTAAACCTATCTCTATGTGGACGAAGTCCTCCATTTATAAGAAATGAACCAAAAAATTATGAAAGAACACAAATGTGGTTTAATAATTTTAACTTCCGCCGCGCCGCGCTGATCGCACGGTGATTGGCGCAATGCGTGAAGTATTCCTGCAGTCTTGTAGGCGCTATACGTTTCACACCAACCGCTCCTGACCGCACTGTGTTTGGAGCAATTGGTGAGGTATTCATGCAGTCTTGTGGGCTCTAATATGTGTTAGGTACACATGCCGATCTCCGCGCCGAGGGCTTGTCTTTTTCATCTCAAGTCCTCGTCATCATTCCTCTTTGCGTTGAGCTCCAGACCAAATTGCGTGTTTAGTTTCTCTCTTCACTCTACTAATTAAAGATGCTATTTCTTGTATCACCGAAAAACGACAAAATTAGAAATTACTATACACTCAGGAAAGAGAGATTTCGTTCCCTTTTCTTATTGATAATTTTTTTTTCTGATTCCGATTTTTTTATACCTACATTTAAAAACATTGCAAAATTTGCCGCCATGGCCCGCGTCCCATGTGGCCACCCCCTTAATCCGGCCCTGCATGGGTGAGACCACAAAGCGATTTTTCAGAAGAGTGAAAAACCCTCCCAACTTCCTTCCATTTTACAATACAAACATAAAACTTGGTGGAAATATCAGGAATATGATACTTGTTGAGTCTCTTTACATGCTTTGCAAACTAATGTTAGCAGTACCTAGCAGATTTCGGCAGAAGTAGGGAGATACGTGTTTTGGGGACTAAGGACTGACACCCAGAATAAAGATACGGGCTTTTGGCATCAGCGATTAAAAGTTGTTCCTTCCTCCACTTCTAACCATGATGATACGGTTAAGAGGTAAGTATGACATAATAAATTAATAGATTTCGAGTTTTTGGAGTTTCAAGTTCATTTTAGCACATATGTGATCTTTGAGCCTCGTCCCCTTAGACACTACTTGGGTCCATTTATGTAATACCTACTTATATTTGTTGGGCTCTGGAGCCTGTGCGATTAATTTTGAGGAAATTTATTCACAACTTGGGATTGGAGAGTGTATTAAAAATCTTGTGAAAAAGAATTATTCTACAAAACACGAAAGTTTTGTGAATCTACAGCACAGCATTCAATGCGAATAATTCTATGAATATTTACCAATTTTTTATAAGAGGATGCCTTGGAAAATTTTCTGCAGCTCTCTTAATAGGTGCTCCCTTTGTGGGAATCTATTATAAGTGTGTGCCTAAAACAAAGAACTGGTTACAGCGAGTGTCCTTCATAAAAATAAGTGAGAGCTGATTGTTAATGAAAAAGTATAAAATTTATTTAAAAAATAATGTTTACAAAAAAAAAACTATGCGTAGGAAAAACATGACACACCCTTAATGTACTTGTAAAAAAATAAAAACTTTTGTGAAATATTTTGAATATTTCAAGAATTTCAGTTAACTTTACTTAAATGACTTTGATGTGTAAATTCGGTGTAAAAACAGGAAAAAGAAGTACAGAAATCACATTTTCCTGGAATGTTTCATATTTTTATGAGGAATAAGAAAGGAATGAGAAGGCCAAAAAGGCACATTGTTTTGGAGGAAATGGTGCCCAAAACTTTTAAGTATTCCAGAATATTATTCTTCCTCTTGAGAGTTACAATTTTTTTTTTCAGGAATAAAATTGCGAGTTAATACAGGGGTTTGACAAAATACAGTCGGCAAATTTTTAGCAAGTTCCTTCCACACATATTGTATTTTCCATCCATCCATGCATGCACCATTGGCACACACAAGCAAGCATACAATTAAAATACACAAGTACAAAGTCCAGTCCACCCTTAAAACTTTAAGTTCATTCTGTACAAATTTTAACATTACCTATGAATACAAAGGGCAGTTATTAGCAGCCATAAAAATACAAAAAAGAGCATCTAGATTGAATGCTTCATGTCTGAATGTTTTACCATAGATGTTGATTGTGAGGGGGAAAGTTAATTAAATAAAAGTTAATAATGCTCCAGTAGACTTCACTCAAAGCAAGTAAAATGAAATCTAAAATCTTTCGAAGCATTTAAAAATGTAGGTACAGTAAATTACCTAAGAACTACCTATTTACCAATTTGTAACTTTGTTATTCAATAGGGAAATAAATAAAAAAAGACCTTTCACCTACGTTATTGAGATTTGAAGATTAATTTTTTCCCAGTTATCCACGCAACATTTCATTTATTCTCCTTTTCACTAATAAGATAGAGGAATAATTAGTAAGCGAGAATTGATTTAGTGATAAGACATGACGAAGTTGTGAAGTTTGACTAGATCAACACGGGTTTGAGTGAAAAGCAATAAAATGAAATACATAAATGGATTGAGAAAAAAAGTGAAAAAAAAAATAAATAAATAAATGATGATAATAATCAAAAGAGACAGTAAAACTATTGTTGAGTAGTGTTTTAGAAATTTAGGCTAGTGTTGCGCAGCGCTCTTTCAGGCTATGCACAAGCTGCATGACAAAAAAAAAAACATAAAATTCTAAGACTCATTAATTACAGTTTACATACCATAGACTGGCTGATTACATGCTCAACTTTGGCAAAAGTACATTTGGATTCTACATCAAAGAATTGAATAAAGATTTGAGGATGGACACATAAAATAATCGAAAAACAAAATTGCAATTGGAATTTTTGTTTCAGATCAAGTTGAATGTTTAACTACCGAAAGTAATTGAAAGAATAGCAGTCCTACTTCTCAATAAAAAATATGTTTAAAAAAAATCCTAAAACACAAATTTCCAAAAATACATAGTTTTCTACTTTACATTACAGTTAAATCTGATTGAAAGGCACACACAGGATAACACTTCGTTATTTTCTTAATTGTTCAGAGGAAATAAAAACAATGGTGGAGGTTTATTGTTAGCTCACTTGCATTAATTATAAAATGAACTCTTGAATTTCACATTCACCCTCTTTGCACTCTTATGATAAACAAGATGGGAGGAAATTATGTAAAATTAACCACATGCAACAGAACGTATCCACTGATTGCATTAAAAATAATGAGCACAAACAGGAATGATTGAGGATGGCTATAGATTAATCAATCTAAGATTCAACTTAAAAGTTACGGTACAGTCTTTTGGTCAACAGAGTAGGAAGACATTGCCTGCTTTTTGTCATGAACATACTATTTACATCGAGTAAAAGAGAGAGGTAATTTGCTGTAACTATCTATACACTTTACAAACGAACAAAGACCTCACAGTCTTTAATTTTTGAGTGATGATTATACATAAATTGAATGATATTGTAAAATCCGAACCGGATCTCTGCCAAGCCAGTCGTAAATACCACTTTTTTTATGTCTTCCTTGGGAAAAGACAATCACAGAGACTAATCCGTTCTGCAACATTTTTTCTTCCTGCACCTCTACCATGGAATTAAGTTTTGAGTACATATCAGGGATGTCACCAGGATTTATAATTAATACGGCAGAAATTTGATAATAGTAGTATACAATCATCACATGTAACCACATTTTAGGTTCTGAAATTAGGCAGGGGCACATAATACCTAGCAGAGGTAATTTGACAGAGAATCTTCCTCTTAGGCTGTAAAATTTCATTCTATATAAATCTTGCAGAGACACCCTTAAAATTTGAACTCACATTATTAATAACGCAAGAAAATAGAATTAAAATCTTACTTGAAGAAGGAAAGTTCCAATTCCAAATAATAATACTGAATGACTTAGAAAAGGGTACTTTGTTGCATTTGAAGAATGTTCTCATTAGAGTGTTACAGAGAAATGACTTGTCTATGCTGTAGTAGCAAAAACTGGGGTCACAATTGGGGAATATGTCAGTTATTAATCTTCTTACATGTCAAAAGCATAGCAAAGTGACAACTAAATTGGCAAAGGTGCAATACATTTAATCGACGCAATACTTTCCTTCAAAAAAAGAAGAGGGCAAAAAAAACAGCTTTATAAAAATGTAAATCCTTCCAATGCCTGAGTTGTTTATAACCAACATTTTCTCATATTGTGCCAAACAATGGGTACCTTATATGATCATTACATATGGCAGGTAAATTTTGTTTTGATAATTCTGACCTACTGAAGAGTCGCTATGAGTTTGTAATATTTTCAAGAAACTTTAGAAAAACAATTTTGAAAAATGATGAGTGAAACGGAAATTTACCTTCTAAGAGCATCTTGCAGCCTTTTTTTTGGGCCTTACAGTAAAAATGAGGATATTCCTTAAACGATAAAGTTTTCCCAAGTATAATAATTTGATTCAAATAAGGTCTTCTTGGATGAAACTTGAAAAATCACATTATGGCTACTTGCGAGGTAGAGAAATGTTTTTACAAATTTGTTAAAATAATGAAGAACAATAGGCAAGTTTGTGACCTTGGCTAAATAAAAGCTTGGCAGCAAATTTACAACCTCGTTTCCGGTTTAGATCTGAAGTGAGGATGATTCAGCCTCAACGGCCTTAGTTGAGACACTGTATGCGAGGCGTCAGATTCGTTTTCATCCACTGAGTCAACATCACCTGTAATCATAAATAAAGCACAAAATGAGGAGAATGTTAGAGAAACGAAATGACAAACACATTTCTCCGGATACAATAAGAAAGAGGGAGAATTAATAATGATAAGAAAAATTCTAGCGCTAAATACTTTTCCCAGTTTCTTATGAGAACTTAAGCTAATTTAGAGTCTCCATAGCTTTGGCAGGAAAAAGTTTCCTGTATTTTCCAGGCTTTTTCGGACAAAAAGGATCACAATTCCCTCACTTTTCAGATGATGCTTGGCTCACATAGAACAGAGATGGATCATTTTTGGACAGAAATATGTGAACCTTTCTTCTTCACTTATTAATAATTAAATTAAGTTAGTAGAATTGCGATCCTTATCAAAACTTAATCCTCTGTTCACTTATGAAAGTACAACGCAGGACATTGACCCTTGAACCAGACTGAGATTCAGTTTGATTGTGTGGACAGACTGTTTTCCCTGATTTCAAGTTCCAAAATTTTCCTTTCCGGTCTCATTCATAGAGTTTCCTGATTTTCCTGAACTGATGAAATTCCCTAGGAATTTTCAGCTTACTAGACCTATTGACAACCTGTAATTAGTTTCGAGAAAATTTTTGAAACTGAAGTGAAGTATGTAGCTGGAGTTGCCTTTAAAAAAAAGAAAAGTAAAGTGAAACTCAACACTTTTCACCTGTACTTGATTCTCTTGTTTTCTGAAAAATTGAGCTAACTCATTTACAAACAATTACATATGTCGCAGGCAAATAGTGAAATCAGGCATTTTGTCAAATGCCTGGGCAGATAGGCAAATTTTGACGGTCTACAAAATTTTGTGACTTTACGGCGAAGAGCTCGCTCGATTTTTCACTATTTTTGGAAAAATAATTCAACAAAACTACGAGCTCTTTTTGTCCCTTCCTCTTCAATTGCTTCTCATATTTTTAAATGTTGGAATTCCGAAAATTCTGCATTTTATGTCATGCTGAAAATTTAAAAATCAGTGTCTGTTCAGGAGCTAAAAATCGTTTAAAATACTATTGTGTGCTGCAGATTCTTACTAAGAATTTTTTCTTGCAGGAACTATGGATTATTTTGTCTGAAATCAGGAAAAGAATCAGAATTTCAATCTAAGTTAGAATATTAGACTATCTGCCTAGGCATTTGACAAAATGCCTGATTTTACTATTTGCCTGCGACACATACAAACCTGAATTGACGAATGAAAAAAACACCATGGCATTGAGTTTCTGAGAGAAGGAGGGAAAGTTTGTTTCGAAAAAAGAGGTAGCTATTTTGCGAGCTAATTCAGATGAAACTTACCATCACTGGAATTAGTGGAGGCTACGAAGTGCTCCGCTCGGACTAATTTTCTAGAACGACTAGGTCTTCGACAATACTTGAATTGTCTTGGAAGTGTGTAGGACCTTGGCAGGGACATTTGCGAGTCCAAGTCAGATGGTGCTTGGTATTTCATCAAGACTAGCAGCTGGTCTTCCTCACAAAACCTGTGATCAAAATCATTACACAAATTAAAAGATTGATAGAACCAATAAATAAGGTGTAAAGATTAAGCTCATGAACTTAATAATACTCATGAACAATAGAGCTCATGACTAATAGAAAGTGACACTGTGTAATTTTGAGTTTTGAATAGGGTAGATTAGAAATTCCGACAGCTTTTCCTCGGGACTATTATGGTTCAACATAACATGTACAGTTAAAATATTTACCTGTAAATAGGTGCAGTATCTGCATTGTTCCAATCGTAATACTGAAAACCAACATCCTCTCTTGAGCTGTTAAGGTAGTGAGGAGCCAGCAAAATTTCTGAAGTGTTGGTGCGGTGAGCAGCTGGATGTGGCGGCTGCTTCCCTCGAGGAGGAGGCGGGGGTGGAGGCTCTGGAGCATTTGCCGTTGTCCTACTCCGAGGCCGCTGATGAAGTTTCCCTTGTTTGATTTCCTCCTCTATCACTCGCAACTCCGCTAGCTGCTTTTGTTTCTTCTCTTGTAGTTTCTGCTGGATATTCACTCGAGAGCCGACGCTGCTCCCTTCATTTTCACTAGATCCACCCTGCAACCAAAACAGATAGCAGTCTTTACTTATGGGGAGGAGATTTAATACTGGAAGGCACAGAGTTCTACAAAAATGGTGTACATTAGAAATAAAGTAAACATCAGACTATCAAAACTTACGCCACAGTTGGCTGATTCAGATGATGAAAAGTTAAGATAGTCCGCATATCATCCCTAGTGGGGCTAATTTCAACATCCTCCAGTGGTGAACAAGATGCGAGAAAATTTAGCAAAAACAGTAAAAGTGTGTGCTCTGTGTTCTATTCATGATATTTATGCTATAAATATTTACAAATACTTCACCCATTTTTTGTGCCTTATCAATTAGAGAGCCAAGAGAAGATAAAAAAAAAGGGAAGAGGGAAATTAACCTAACAAAAATCAGCTTAGAAAATCCAATGTTCATTTTGTACTAAATCATTTTAAGTACTTCAAAATGCCAAAATTATTCATTACATTTTCATAGGCAGAAATTTATGGATAATGACTTGACTTGAGGGAATTAGGTACAAAAATGCATTGTTAGAGCACCAACATAAAATCACTTTAAAACAAAACTACGAGCGTTTAAGTTTCAATTCATCCTGAAATTTGCCATTTTAAAATGATTTGGGGAGAAAGAAAAAAAGTTAGGGCATCTCAAACAATAAATTTTATTTTTTTCAGGACCTCCAATGACTTTTTGCGAATGATAGCTATCATTGGTGATCCCGTGTCCAGTCAAAATCCCAATAAGTACTTACAATGTACTTGTCTTTTTTACCAAAGTAATGTAGATTAGATAGATGGCAAGCCTTGAGTATGAATAAAGGCAATTCTATTGGCCAGTGACAGAAAAAAAAGCCGCTTTAAGCAAAAAAAATTATGAAACATTCTGGACCCAATATTGTTGTAATAATTTTAGGGACGTATATCTGACGTGGTGCTTGTACAAACTTTAAATGCACAGCTCCTCATGTGCGTCTTGTACAAACCGAGACAGCTAGGTTTTACTTTCCATTGCATTCAATATGATTATGAATACAAGCACAGACAACACTTGAGCTTATGAACTGCGTTCTATGGACCCAACAATAGGCGCCAAATATTCTTCATGCTTCATCTTGCACAATGTGAAAATTAGCCGAAAAAAGCAACAAACTTTTGGCAAAAACGGGAAGGGTTAAGAAAGACTGTTACCTGATGGCTGTGAGTATTTGGTAAAGGTCTGCACCAGAAAGGTACACTGTCATAGCCATTGCGATGATTTGCAACACCATTAGATACAGTATTGCCATTATGATTGTTTGCATTTGGCCCCACTGATGGTGGTGGTATGAAAGATGTAGGTTTCTTTTTCTTCCTCTTCTGCATGGCTGCCATATACGGGTTTGTAAATCTGCAGTTGAAAACGCCAGGAATGCCTCCATGATGGTGAGAGTTTGCTGGAGCGGCACCATGATACCGATATTTATTAACATGAGAATGTTGTTGAGATGCAGAGGTGTCTGTATCTGTTGGTGCCGTGTTCATTCCGTTTGATCCATTGTAGATTCCACTAAAACTATGACGCCTGATTAAATCCTGCAATGATATTAAGAGAAATTTAAAACAGGCTTGATTGTTGATCTTACATGTGAACTACAAAGGTAGAAAGCACATAAATTTTACAATACATATGGTGAAACATGTTGTGGTGTTACATTGAAGAGTAAGGATGTGCATAAATTCCAGTTAACATTTTTGGTGTTCTTTGAGAGAATATAATAAATTCTGTTCAGTTCAATGTGACCTTACACAGAGAGAGAGAGTGAGATCTTGGTCTCTAAAAGCAAATTTTAGGGAGGGTGATTTTCATAAAGTCCGGTCAAGAAATCAGAGTTCAAAACTTGAAGTTTCAATACCTTAGCTTCTTCAGTTTTCTATTAAAAACAAAAATGCAAGAGGAAATTGGGCAGTGTAGATTGTAGTTACTTTAGCCAATTCTGTTCAATTTGTCCATATGAGGATGTCATGCCTGTTCCCATGGATCATATCAAGGTTAATACTTTTCTTATCTCCCGATTGACTTTCAATTGGAACATTTTCGGAGCATGATCTTTTCTCTGAGTTATTAAGAAAAATTCTAGCCTTGGATATATTGACTATTTTGCCATTTCAATCTAGAAAATAACAATATTAGATTTTCAAGATCAATTTAGCGGTTAAACCACTGCACTCAAGTGAAAACTGAGAGTGGAACTTACTTTACTTCCAAGCAATAAGTCATTGCAACGAGAGGATCCAGGTTGTAGCCTGGCTGTGGAGTTGTTGCTACTGTTTGTATTCATCCTGCCACCAGATTCGTACTTTAGACGTCTGACATGGAAAAATCGGTAGTACAGAGCCATGAAGACGAGTCCAGAGAAAAATAGGAACATAACTAACAGAGGAAGCTTATAACGATACCAAGGAGGGTTGACAGAGACCGCAACCCACCAGACAAACATTAGTAGAGCGTTTTCAAGCCCCATAACTATGTAGAACATGAGCTGTGAACAAAGGAACAGAAAAATTATGAGAACATCGGACAAATAATGAATTTTAATCAAGGAATACTCTTTTTGCTTCATTGATGTGGTAAGCAGCTATGTTTGCCTGACTATGTCTACTTTTAATCATCATCTGAAGTAAAGCATAATTTTTTTTTTCATCTTGTCACAATTTTAGATCACTTTCTTGAGTGGAACATTCACTTTAAAAATAACTCATTTCCTTTGAAATACTCTCAAAACCCTACATAACACGCCAAAAAGAAATACTTCCAAAAGATTTTCAAGTTTTTACAATTTTACATGCACAGATTTATTGCATCTCAATCAAATATGCATATCGACGGTGAAAGTCGGCAATCGCATAACTCGTTTGCGGTGTCTGAAAATCTCCGTCTTCACGTCATTTTTTTAAAGGAACACAAATTGATATTATTTCTTGAAGTTTTTGCAGAATTTTCTTCGCATTGAGAAGAAAAATCACGACAGTTTTAAAGAATTGCCGTTGAGTAGTTTTCCATTTAAAAAATAAAGTATGACAGGAAGTCTGCGACGTCGCAAACCGAGTCATGTGATTGCCGACTTTCACCGTCGATATATCAGTATGCATATGGTGCTTTGCAATAAAAAATTCACATTTCTTTGAACATACCAAACTATTTCAAATCTGCACCTGGTGAGACTTGATGATTTACCCTGAAAATTCAAATTTTTTTGACCATCCACATCATGTGCCAACTTAAGCATGAATGAATGGTTGTGCAACGATAGAGCAGCAGAGGCTTTTATGTCAAATGAAACATTTTACATTTTTTCCCTCCAATTTATGACACTGAGCTTACCGCCAATTTCAAGTAACGTCTCCCAGTTTTAACCAAAATTCACAAGCATTCCCCCTTGAAAACAGAAAAACAAAAAATAACCTTCAACCCAAAAATTTGAATTTTTTGCTGCTAAGATGCAAATTTTAGCACAGGGTTCTCCCATGTTTTATTCCATGCTTGCTGGAGCTCTCCCACTTCAGCAACTGGCATGAGACTGGGCTGGTTGCATGGTCAGGAAATTTCTGTACCCTTGGTTTACCGAAATTAGAGGAAAATTAAAACGAAAAATAAATTCTTACCATTTTTTCACGATGATTGACCTCCAGCAAATTTATGTATGCAAAAGTAAAGACATATGCTATGATGGCAAAGAGAGCAGCTTTTCTTCCACGGGATATATTTTCTCCATGAAAAACATTCTTCGGAGAAATCAACCACAAAAACATGCAGACCCAATGGAGAAAAATGACTAAGAAGACGCCCTGTCCATATACTGAGGCGTACGAGGTGAGTGATATTATTCTAGCGCACACAGTTCCAAAACGCCAAAAAAACTGTAACAAAACAGAAAAGGAATTGATCAAACCTGGATAGAGATTTTGTATGAAACAAAAGAAAAACCCCAATGTTTGACATCAACTGATGAGATGTTATTTAAAGCGACGTTTGTCAAAAAATATACAGAAATGCACTTAGATTGTGCTTGGCCAAAAAAAATGAGATGAGTTACACCACTATGAAAAATAATTAATGTACTTATGGTGCCAATAAAGATGCATACCTATCCAAGTATTGGCAAGTTAATTTGGTTACACTATAAATAGAGGATAGGATTACAGCTTAAACTCAATCGGGCTGATCAAGCTTCCATGTTTTTCCTAAAGGTTTAAATGAACTTTAGAGACTGAACAACCTAAATTTAGGAATGGATATGTGAGGAAAAAAAAGGTGAGACTGTTCAGAGCCATTTAAGTAATCTCTTTCACCAGATGTCAAGTGATTGGGGCTCTGTTCTTCTTCCCAATTCTCTGATTCTTGAGGTAATGGTAAGTATCACATTTTTTCTTTACCTGATGTCTCATACACATTCTTTATGCATGTTTAAATTGATGTGATGATACTTCTTTGCATAATTTCTATCAAGAAATATATGTTGGTGAAAGGCTACCTTTTATGGGTTTCATGGTCAAATAACTAGGTATTTACTTTTCACAAAATATTTGCTACGTAAATACAATTGTTCAATCATATTTTGTCTCAATTTTCGTTAAGGTCATTTAATTTGGAAAATTTAAGGGGCTGATAAATTAAGCTGGTACGTAAAAATGTGAAGAAATGTTTGAAGATTCAACTTTACTTACCTGAAATATTACGCCTAACCAGGTCAAAACCAGCCGATGAACATTTTGCATTCGGACATTCTTACTGAAGGAGGCTAATGCCCAACAGACACTGAAGAGTGATAGAGAAACAGAGACTGTATTCAAATCGTTGAATTCTTTAGAGGATGAATCCTGCCACAGCAGGTAAAACTGTATTAGGAGCATTGGTGCAGATTCGCAGAAAGCATGCAGCAATCGCAGCATGCATAGATCTCGAACTTCATACTTGACAAATCGCAAATCAACAGGGATAAATAACTTGAAATAGCGCCATAATATACCACATTGAATGGTGTGCAGGATGATAATGGACCACAATTGAAATCGTTTGAAGAGGAATGATCTTCTCATCTTCCCATCCGTACTATACTTTTCGAGGCTTTTGTCTTGAGCCTCCACTGTATGTAAGTACCATCTTAAGGAAACAGCTTGCTCCACAATTAGTGACAGAAAGACGAAGGACATTGTGGCTATGAACCATTTAATTTCTCCTCTGACGCAGAGGGCATATCCCATGACGACATCGAAAACAATATCACAGAAGTAAGCTGCCAAAGATATAATGTTGAAGAGCACATCACACAGAGGCAAGAACTCTTTTTGAGTTAAATCTAAGAAACTCATCGTTGAATATTTTCATTTTGTATTAAACTTTTGAGTTAAACTTTAACAAGGCTGATCACAATCATTTCTGAGCAAGGGTTTGCGAAGAGTAAAGTTCATGGATATGCACTTATAACAACGAAAATCACTATTTTCAAAACTGCACATGATGGAAAATTAGACTAACACTCTGTAACACGACTATTCTCATGGAAAGTATTAAATTTCACAATAAAATATTGGATTCTTCTCTCAGGAATGCGGTAATGCGGTTTAGGTATTGTTTGTGTTGTGTCGTGTGGAAGTGGAACGAGTTAAACGCGTGTTTTCCGCTAGGAGCGCAAGTGTCGATCCAGGTGCAAACTCATTGTAAATTAAAAACACACCAAAACCAAAATATTGTAAATTCAATTAATCTGCATGATTTTGGTTTAATATTGTAATGACAATAATATTTCATTTCAAAAAATGTAAATTCATATTTAATCTTCATTAAAAATGCTGCCCATAACAGCCTAATTCTGCAACATTTTGAGAAGAAAATACGCCACGCATGTAATTTTGAGTTAGTGTAATAGCAGACCTGATGATTTCGTCAAATTTGCAGGTTATGAATTTTATCTTTATCATTTGTTTACAAATTGTTTCTGACTATGAAATCTGTACATACTTTTTAAAGAGGTTTGCGTCAGATTTGATTATAGTTTCGAGCCTTTTAGTTACAGCTAGCTTCTATCATATTCTTGAATTTATTACTTGATCCAAAAGGTTAACTCTATCACTCTACTATTGTCATCCTAATGTCAGTCATCCTCACCAGTGGATCTGTATCACGGATTATCGCCCAGTGCTTCGCATATTCATAGACCTGGAATTGGTTTGACCCTAAACTGATCGTCCATCTTCTATTGAAACTTTTCTAAATTGTTAAACGTGAGTTCTAATTTTGGTTCATTATAACGTACACAATCACTAATGATCAAGATACATGATAGCTGAAGGGAGGTACAAGCAAGTGGGGTGTGCTCTACTTCAACTTCTTCAATATCACGGAATTCAGGAATAAGAATGTACTGTTAAAGATAGAAGCTTACCAAATTTGACGAATTGCCAACCATTGTAATTCCTGTTAAATGGAACTCTCTCCAAGGCAAAAAAACTTTCGAATCAATGCCCGAGTATTGAAAGTATGTCAGAAATCAAGATAAAACATAGCCTTATCTTAATCATGCAATTTCGATGTCTTATCAGACTGCTTTAAGCTTTCAATAATCAGCTCGCTGACACTTGTACTTTAATGTAAGCCAGATACCATTCGCACCAACTAAATAGTAGAGGTGGCACTATAGAGGTACCACGAAACAGCAGAATTTCTAAACAGCATGTTGCCAAACCCTACGGATGTAAGATAAGACAAGACACAAGTGAATGATTCGAAGCAACTGATTTGCAAAGGAGAAAAAAAATAAATAGCGTCTTACCTATACCAAAAGAAACTCAAGCGGCAAGTGCCAAACGTACTCAACCAAGGAATGAGGGCCTTGGAGTACAAGGCGCATTATTGTAGTTATGGAAAAACTTAGATACCTATTAATTATTTCAAATTAAAGTAGTCTAAATGCACATTCTGTGAAAAATTTGCTCCAAAATTCCAATTTTTAAGTATCCAAAAGTCAGTTTGAACTTTCATTCCGCCGTAAGGATCCAAGTAATTTTGAAACTTCATTATTTCATATTTCTCAAAATAGCAAAAATTGCACTTATGCGCCTTGTCCTCCAAGCCTCTCGAATTTAGTCTAACTTAGTAACCTCTTTGGAAAACTTAATGAATTTTACAATGACATAAGCTGTCTCTTGCACAAAAGATCTTTGTAGAACAGAAGAGTGGTTTCCAGAATTGCAAAAGTGGTGATTATTTCTATCTCTTCCAAGTGTGACTCCTGTCTGATGTTGTCCTCCTTTATTTTAAGTTACTTTTGTTTGGTAAAATTTTGCGTACATTCTTCTGTCATAAATATTAATCAAATTTGATTATCTTGTGTTTTAGGCTGATCTTTGAATAATCTATACCAAAAGGAACTATGTTATCCAGTCTTTTAAAGGAGCATCAAGCAAAACAAGCGGTTCGGAAATCAAATCAAGGTCAGTAATACATTATTTGCCTTAATAATTCAATGCTGGAGATAATATTAATTGGAATTGTCACTAAGCATTTTTTAAAGCAGAAAAATTTAAATTTAAGGTTATCTAACCAAACGATATTTGGAAATTTCCATTTCACAAACCTTTTTTTCAGTTGTTTACTTAAGCCTGTTTCAGAGGCTACTATGCTGTCATCCATGCTGAAATAGCGGAGATTGATTAACTTGAATATGACTCATAAAAAAAATTATAGAAATCAAGCTGAAATAAACTACAAGACAGAAAAACGATTTAAATTTTTTAATTTATATACCTGCACTGTTAAATATACCATGTGTACTGCCAGTAAACCTTTTATCTAGTGATTTTTTTTTTTTTTTTTATTTACAGAAGCCAAGCGGAAAGAAGCAATTGAGTCTGCCAACAATCTTACTCAAGCCCTTGTAGATCATCTGAATGTGGGGTAAGTAAGCTGAATTTGGGTTGATAAGTTCAAGACGAAGAAGTCTTCTTCGGTTAAAAGTTATATGAAGTCTCTTAATTAAGAAAATTTGGAAAGATCACTGTGTGGTCAGCGTGTTTAGCAACGTGAAAAATCGGTAAAGTCAGGGAAAATGAGGAAGATGAAATTGGTCAAGAAGTCAGGGAGTGTGAGGGAGAGAAAATATGTAACTGGGAAAGTAATGAACTCCCTTGCAAGATTGTTATTTTTTACCCAACTTCACAGCGCTTTAATACTGAGCTGTGCAATATTCGCTTCTGATAATAATTCAAAACTAATTCTAAAGCTCTTCAATGCAGCACAGGTAACAATAAAATAGTTTATTTGTTCGTTTGTATTAGAACCTGTTAAATTACTTTCTGAACTATTCTCACCTATGAGAGCAAAGGCACTTTAGGATTCATTTGAAAATAATCTTTTCCCTTATACATAATGAACACTGATTCGAAGCTTCTAAATGTCACCATCAACTCTTTTTTCACACTCTCCTTTCCACACGTAAAAAAAAAGGGGGGGGGGAATGATTTTTCTCTGTTGGGATCAATCATCTTAATGAACCAAAGGTAACTGTTACTTTCAGAAATCTATGCATTTTTTCATTCAACTTTACAATCTTGCCTACCATGTATTGTCCAAATGTTCTCAGGTAGTAATTTTTCGTAAGTCATAATGTTTCCATTTTGTCACTCTTCTTTTTTTCAGTGTTGCACAAGCATATTTGAATCAAAAGCGACTGGATGCAGAAGCAAAGTTACTCCATCAAAGTGCCCTTACTTTTGCTAAGCAGACTCAACAATGGCTCTCCCTTGTTGATAATTTTAATGGAGCTCTCAAAGAAATAGGAGATGTCGAAAACTGGGCAAAGAGTATGGAAAATGACCTGAAAACCATTTCCAGTGCGCTTGAATATGCTTATAAAGGTAGTTATCTAATGCGCGTTTCTTTTCCATGTACTTTTTAATTTAAGAAGTCCCTGTTGTAACTAGCTAGTATGTGAAATTCAATGCAAAACTGCTGCAACTTAAATTTCGATTGAATGACCAAAATTTTTCATTAATGTTTTGCCTTTGAAACAGAGCCCAAGAATAACTTTCATTAAATTTGTGTTAATTCTATTCTGAGATTTTGAAAGTTTTTGAAAAGTTTCAAAAAAATAATATCCAAAAAATGCTTAGTTTTTTTTTTTTTTAGTTGCAGCGTGAATTAAAGGTAATGCACATAAAGGTGTTACTTAGGCGTTGTGTGATGCTTTTGAGGTTTACACTGGAAAACTTAGCAAATGAACAACAAACTTAAAGCAACCGGGTGTAAACTTTGGGCTAAAAAATGTTTAGATCGCTGTTCTATAGAGTCTTTTTCGTTTTTCACCATAGTTTGCTATTTTGCTTGGATTTTTCTAGCATGGGGGGGGGGGGGGCGTGTCAAAACATAAAAACATTTGTCGGGAAAATGATAGGAAAAGTTTTCACAATGTTGAGACAAGGGATTCTAAAGCTGGAAAAATCCTTAAACGCTCATGACTTAAATGAACTAATTCAATTTTTAAGAGTCAAATAAAATACAAGCTCATTGTCAGTGCAGTCATGATTTCTAGGACATAGAGGAAGCAGAAAGTACCAGGATATGTTAGCTTAAACAATAACTAGGAAAGTTAAGGAATTAGCACTAAAAACGAGGTATTTATTCTCTGCCTAAAACTTGTGTTGAAGAAGGTGTTAAAATAGTGCTGGGTCCACACAATCTGGCTTTGATTTCCCCACAAAATAGTGTGAACCCAGCACTATCGTACCACCTTGTTACGTACAGCTCGGGCCATGATGCTTAGTGGTTTTTTTTCTCTTTGGTTAAACATTGATGGTTCATATTGACTTGGCCTCATGATTAGACTGAAGATATATAAGTTGGATTCCCCCCCCCTCCCCCAAATATGAAGAGAGAGTTTTTTTTTGAAGAGAATCTGTTAAAAAAATTAGAGAAAAATTTAGGTTTTCAATAGATGATTAATCCTCTGGAATCAGTAAAAATCAGGTAATGAACAAATCAAGAATTCTAGAATGAGAGATATAATTTTGTTCTTGCATCATATCTGTAGACAATTTAAAATAACTCTTTAAAAAAAAAATAAATAAATAAAAATATTCCTTAACTGAATGTACAATGCAGGTTTCTTTATTATGATTCATCATAGCAAAAAACATATATTGTGCATTCAGTAAAGCAAATTATTGGAGCTGAAGTGCCAATCATATTGAAAGAGCATTGAAAATTTAGCTGCATGCCAGTTGTGGAAACTTCTTCTGTTTAATTCCTACACTTGAACTAGCAACTGTTTGATGATCTTGGAAAGGGCTTCAAGAGAAAAAAAAGAGAGTTCAAAAAGACGTTTTGAAATATTACAATATCCCTGCGACCCAGTTAAAAAAAAAGAGAAAAAATATTAAACACAAGGGTAAATTAGGAGAAAATGCTGTTCTGTCTAGTTTTATTTTCTGCTCTACTGGTCTGAATAAAAGTTGTAGTTGTAGCTTTACTTTGAATGGTTCCATTTTTAATTATTCCTTCTTTTTTTGAAGCCTCTCTCCAAATGTAGTTCTTACTCATTGTGTATTCGAGATGTCTCATTTTTCTACAGTTGTTTTTATTTATTGTAATTCTTTTCTTTTGCAGAATATCAATGAATGTTCTGGTTCATCAAACCATCAAAAATGTTTTCTCAGCCATGAAATGTACCAGATGCCTCTTCTAGATCCACCATCATATCATAATTATTATTCTAGGTATCATGAACTTCGGTTCAGACCATGATCCCCTTTACTTAGTGTTCTTTTTCATGTGCGTCGCATACCTCTCAAGAGTAAAGTAACTTGTAGAGTGAAAGATTGTGAGTCATGCCTGTTTTCTTTCTTTATCTTTAACAATCCTTGTATGATAGGTTTTTAATCAATTTAGAATTTTCTGGAGTCTTATGCCATTCACGAATCACAGCTAACATTATGTAATTGAATACAAAACACAGAAATGTCCACCGGCTACAGGAGTTTAGTGCCGGAGAGTTTTCCTAAGAGAGTGATCTTTTTCAAGCTAAGTTGAACCAACAAAAGAATTTAACTGAGACCAATCTCCTCTACTCCAAAAAATAAGCTACGTGGAGTATAGTCAATTTTTGTCCAAGTAGAAAAAAAAGTTACATCATAATTCAACAAATCTGGGCCCCTAATATTGTAGATTTAAATTATCAACAGCCTCCTCTCAAAACCATGTCTTTTAAATCGTAAACTTCATTTCAGTTAGGTTTGAAATTTTTTAGTGCCAAACTGTTTGCAAAGCACTCCTTTAAATATTGGCGTCAAGATCTGAACTTAGATTTTTTTGGGGGATGACCCATTCCCAGGATATTTTCTCAAATTTTTTAAAAAAAATGGCTCTTTAAAAGGCAGGCCGATTTAAAACGTGGGAAGGCCAGGAATTCTCTGCATCCCTGGTTGGCTTGTTTAAATATCTCTGATTTTTCGATCTCCAAAAAATTTCACTCTCAATTTTTTAGGAGGTCTGGAAATTTTACAGATAAGACAGTAATTTACTCTGACAATATGTTTTAAAACACGACTGTCATGTGGTGAAAATCCTGAACAGTAGATCTGGCACCAAGATCAGTAGTTTGAGCATTGGATTTAATTGTTCACGTCTTATGTATTTTGTTCCTAGTTTTTAGTTTGTTTAAACAAGTGTTAATTCTTTTTAAAATATATTTTTTACTTTTCGTTCATCAGGTCTTTTATATTCGTTTTCAAGAAACTTTTAAGAAAAGAGGGTTTCCCAAAACCTTTCAGTGTAAAATGTAGGTAGGTACATCAACTTGGGCACCTGCGGGAAAGTTCTTGAATGTTTGATTATTGAATTTTTGTATTTTGTAGATTGTTCAATTCATAGTTAAAGTTTGAAAAATGCATAAGTACCTCAGATTTCAGAGCCCTAAGTCTTCAATCGTATTATATATATTTATAGGAAAATTAACCAATAGTTCTTTATAAAAAAAATTTCCCTCACACTGTAACAACTACTCAAAATATGTAGGTACCTAGAAAGAAAACACTCAGGTTTGTTTTCCTGAAAGAAATGAAACTTTAATTGGAGTTTTGAGCGTTGCAATTAAGGTACACATTTTTCCCATCCAGCCATCAATAATTATATTTAAGAACAAATTTTCCTTATCATCATTTTGATCTAACTGAAAGTAATAAAACTAGATACCTAGTCTAATTTGCAGATTATCAGGAACATTTATTTTCTCAGGATCAGAATTCAGCTTGTTGTTCCTTGCTCATGTCAGATCAGTTCTGTGGGCAGAAGCATTTAAAATAATATGATCCAGCTTCTGTCCTCATATTCTCAATAAACTCAACATACTTTACATACTTAAGCGACATTTGGTCAGTATCTTTATCTCATCCGTGTAAAGAAAAATTTCCTTTCACTTCTAACACCATTTTCATGACTAAAAATTAAATAAATTTTGCAGGTTTTTAAAGCAGAAGCTCGTTCAGTTCATGTGACTTCTTTGGATGCCATTTTTATTCAAAAACTCAGAACTCCTGTCAATGTTTAAATACTTCTTGAGGATAGCATTTTGAACATCCAACACACTATTAGATAGTGGTTGTGAAAGTCTCTTGTAAGTTTTTTCGGAAAAAATTCTGAAAGTAAGCATCAGATAAAAGGGAAAGGAAAGAGATTTTACTTTGGCTGCCTCTGTAGATTTTAAATTGAAATTCGAGAAAAAAAGGAAGCAAAAACAGCATAAAAAAAAAGCACCAACAATGTCATGCAATGAGAACATTGTTCCTGGTAAAAGGCACAGCTTAATAGCATATTGGTTTTTTATGATTTTAATGGAAAAAAATCGAGACAGTTTGAGTTGAAACATTAACCGGATTTTCGTAAGGAGATTTTTGGGGATTTTCTTGGGCCTTCTCCGTCAAGGTCCACAAATTTTAATCGAAAAGTCCTTTATTTCACTTAATTTTCAACCGGAGGAAATTGCCGGCTAAAATTTGAATTCGAAAAAGGTTCTCTTCACGCATTAGTGCCCGGCGATTGGTCATCTTTTGATCACGTGAACTGAAAACCTCCAATCACAGCCTGTAATTTCCAATACGTGGCATACGACATGACGACAACGGTGAATCACAATCAACATCTTCCCGCATCCGCCATTCTGGCAGTGGTAGACTATTTTTGTTGAAAAATCACATACTGAATTTTTTAGAGTGTCGTTTTTACGCAAAATAAGGTAATCTTTTTGTAATGCTCCGAAGTATTAACTTCAAAGTTACTATCCTTAACTCTTAAATATCTCTATTTGCAGTTTTAATCGCCTATTTTCCTGTTCGGCGTCGTGTTGGGAGGAGTCCTTGAATGTGGCATCAAACCTCTACCTCAGGCTAAATTATCTTCTGACGCTTGGATAATCGTGTGTTGTTCACTACGTTTACTCTTCGATAATGTTTAATTCTTGTTAAATCTCCGAAAAAGTTTATAACTAACTTGCGGCCCTCTCTACTTTTGCTTTAACCCATTTTAATTGTGTCATTTTGATTGGAATTTCGAATCTGGTACTTACAATATTACTTAACCAAGTTCAATTTTTATTTCTTTCCTTGATGAAACCCCCCGTGCTATGGCCATCATACGTCTACATTCGGCGCTTTATCATCATATTTTAGTGGCCTGTCCAACTTCTTAGCTTTCGTTTTGAGTCTGTCAATTTCAGTTCTTCTGACAGAAGTGTATGATCTTTTCACTAAGAACCTGAAAACTCCATTGTTGTTTTCCCAGTGAAGCCAATGCTCTCTCTTTTCCTGATAGCCAACATCAGAACAGCTTTCATTTTAATCTCTACCCTATCATGAGTTTTTCCCCCTGTATCTGTTGCTCATCACCCTAATTTCAATTAATTTTCTTGCCTCTTTTAGGATTTTTATCAACCGTCAACATGGGGAATATGTTCGCAAATCTTTTCAAAGGCCTTTTTGGCAAGAAAGAAATGAGGATACTCATGGTCGGATTAGACGCCGCTGGTAAAACAACAATCCTCTACAAGCTTAAATTAGGAGAAATTGTCACAACTATTCCTACAATTGGTAAGATAATTTTGATCTTTATAAATTTAACTGTACCTCTAATTAGTATCAACATCTAAATTCTGATCAAGCATTTGGTACGATCCTGTAAGCTTGCCAGCCTTCAGCGACAGAAATAGTTAAAACTGCAATGATTATTCTGAGTAGTGTTAGGATTAAAATGAATCTTTCAGACCCTCAGTTCTTTCTTTTTGTAAGAGTTATCTTCGGAAGTTGGCATAACCTAGAATTCTTCGTCTTATTTGAGCTGAGTTGAATCTGAAGTCTGAATTTTTGTTTTATTTTATTTCAATATGTTATGAAGGTTTTCTCTGAGCATATGGTATTGACAGTAGCTTCCCAGTTTTCTGGTCAAAACTCTGTAAGTATATCATGTTGGTGCCTTGATTTCTTGCCCTGCAAAGCTACATACAAAGCAATGCTATAGCCAACTCATCGTGATATCATATGCTTGTCTTTCTGCAACTATTCTTGTGGTATTAAGCGAGTTTTGGTTACCTCGTGCATCTGTTCAGTGTAGAAAAGAAGTATGTTCTATAGCTAGGTACAGCTAGGTATAGCTGCTACAGACTTGGTTTACGGTCGCAGGATTAGAACTTGAATAGAATCAAAGTTTTCTCTGTCATAAATAATTCTCCTATAAGGAGACTAACCCTTCAAAAACTCAGAATTTAGCTGATGCAAGATATTAGTGACAGTGATATGATAGTAACCTCTGTTCCTTCAACTAGTAGGCTTCAAGTTTCTATCAACTAATTCCAATGCAGGTTTTAAGTGTTAGGAGAGATTTTGAAAATTTTACGAGGAAACTATTATTTCATACCATGTATGCAAGCAGTCCTCCAGGGTTGATCCGAACTTTAGTCGGCCTGATCAGAGGTTCAAAATACTCTGATGAATGAGCAGCTGCCTAGTCTTGTGCTTTAAATTAGAATTTAGGATGAAACTGAAGTCAGATAAATAGACACTCGCTTACTTTGGACCATCGTGTACTAAAGACCTTTTAGTACATCTGTGCATAACAATGGCAGCATTGTTGCTCTTAGTTCCTTCATTAGATTGTTGCAGAGCAGCTACTTGCCTAGAAAAGTGAATTAATGCCTACTTATCTGAAGGAAGTCATATCTCTTTTTTTTTTTTTGTTAAATTTTTATGAACAACAAGTTGATCATCACAGTAAGGCATGAATTTCGTTTCGGAATAAATTTCTGTCCTGTACTCTCAAGCACCCACATTGAAGCACATGCATAGATTGCACAGAATTTATCTGTCTTTTAAAATAAGTTAATGTGATGTCTTATCACTTAAAACTCTCTGACACCATCTTACTGTGATGCTTTATGTCAGCCGATAAATAAAATTTGCCCTGATATTGAAAGTTTTCAGTTTTCTAAGCAGTAAAAAATTCTTATTGGGGAATTTCCTGTCATTGATTAAAATGTTAATCCAATCAGGCATTTAATTTGAAGGTAAAATTTATGTAAAATAATTTCAAGTTCTTTCAGAGCAATCCAAAAGATTCTTGCACGTAGTTTTATAATTAGAATAAATAGTGACTAGTTTATTTAGTTTGGACTGTATTACATAAGCTTCAGTTACATTTTGACAAGGCAGAGACTAAATTTTATTCTTTCTTCTCGTCTCCATAATGCCACGGCTCATCATGTATGTTTCCTCCAAAAATATATCATTGGACAGTTACATGGCCACCGGACCGAATAGAATTTTTCAATATAATCATAGCTGCTGTATATAAATCAAAACAACGAAGACCAATTCACTTATGTTCATCAATACTCAGGAAGGCATCAAAGATCCCATTTGACTTTTGAATCTTGAGAAAAGTTCTTTATCTCTAGTTTATGTGCCCATTGCTATACTCATTACATCATGATTTCTCTCTGTTCCACAGGTTTTAACGTAGAGACTGTCGAATACAAAAATATCAGTTTCACCGTGTGGGATGTGGGTGGTCAGGACAAAATTAGGCCCTTATGGCGGCACTATTTCCAAAACACACAGGTGAGAAGCTTTCCCTCATGGTTTTCATTACTTAGTTTGCTTACAATTCTTGAAAATTGCTTCAGAGATATTTAATCATGAAAAAAAAGGAATATCAAAAATAATCAATGTTCTGATCCACCTCTACCAATCTTACCCCAAATCTGGTAGCCTAGTTGAGGGATTTGAGTCATATTCTTAAGCAGTATAAAATATAAGTAGGGATAGCTCTCTCTCTCTCTCTCTCGTTGCAATTTCATTACAGAATTCATCTGATTTACTTTCAATACAATTCTCTTTCGAGTCAACCTCCTGTTTCTTGCTCTCTCTGTGAAGCCAACATGTCGTCACCTTCCAGGCAAAGTATCACAAGCGCCATGCGACGTTTAAAAATTTCCGCCGCCATTATATTTTTTACAGAGAAATTGTTCAACAAAGCTGTCTGAAAATTTCACTGAATTTTCTTCGTGCTGCCGATAAAATTTAGTGAAATTTCCAAACAGATTCAGCCAACAATTTCTCTAAAAAAATCTAATGGCGGCGGACATTTTTAAACGTCGCATGGCGCTTGTGATACTTTGCCTGGAAGGTGACGATGTGTGGATCCATGCTGCAAAACTTGAAATGTTGAACTGAAGTAATTTAAAAATGAAATGAAAATGTTCTTGTTGCAAATTTTTCCAAGAGCAAGAAAAGTTTTTCTTATAGAAAGTGGCTTTTGAACTGCAATAAGCGCATCGGAAAAATTCAAAAAACACAACAAACCTATATACTCAACAGCTTCTTTCTCCTGCTTTTAAAATTAAGTTTCATAGAGTTAAGTAGAGGTATTTTAGTCTTTTGTTTTTGTGTAAGGAACATGTCACCCTATTAGTTTTGCAAAGAGTTGTGAAACCAGTGCGATCCATCTGTTTGAAATCATGTCTCTGTTTGAGTATACTTCTTGAAGCAGGAAACTATGAAATGCACAAAAATTTTCAGCATAGCGTGAAGTAGGAAGTGAATTGCAGACTTTTCTGATAGGCTCATCGTGATTTTTAATCCTGTTCCCCTCGAAACGCAACTATTCCTATCTTTCTTATGACAGTTTACAATAGACCAATTCCCTCGTAACTCAGAAAAATCTATATTAGTTTGTTACCTGGATTTTTGAGTGACTGAATTACTGATCACTTGTTCTGAAAACCTCAAAATGTACCTCTCCAAGATGAGCTGTATGCTAACAAATTTTTCAGGCTATGATTTAATCCATGGTTTCCGGGAGCCTGGAAAACAGGGAGAGTCCGGGAATTTGCGCCAATTTAAAAAAGTAATGGAATTCTTGGTTGAAGTCAGGGAATTACTGCCACATGTGGCAATCACTAAAATTTTTAAACTGTTTACCATTTCTGGTTATTTTCAAGGCTTGTTTTCTTCTGACCAGCCACTGAATGCCTTTTTCCATAATCTGATCTCCAAACAAGAAAGTTTTGTCTCAAGTTGAGTGAAAGTCAGCCTTTCTTTTAAAAAAAAAAAAAAAAAGGAAAAGAAAGAAAATTCTTATATGGAACTGTTCGAAGGTCAGGGAAAGTCCTGCGAAGTCAGGGGATTAGAAAATTGTGGAGTCACGAAAAAAGCATAAAAAGCAGGGAAAGTCAGGGAATTTGAAGATTTGGAAATTACGGCAACCCTGAATTCTGATTAGCAAAATATCTTCCAAGAATTATCTCCAGGGTCTAATAATTGTGAATGATATTGTTTTGGAAAAATCTGTAAGATTGCGGTGGAGATTCACCGCAAGTCTGCTGTTTTTTGCCTGGATTTATATCCCACACTTTGAGTATCATTTCTAAAATAACTTTTTGTTTTGCAGGGACTGGTATTTGTTGTTGATAGCAACGACAGAGAACGAATTGGTGAAGCAAGAGAAGAGTTAATGAGAATGTTAGCAGAGGACGAACTAAGAGACGCAGTGCTTCTTATCTTTGCGAACAAGCAAGTAAGTAGTCTCTTAATTTTTTTCTTTTTATCTGTACAGTATAGTCTTGATCATCTGCGATAATTGGGAGGGAAGACACTACAAATCATTAATAATCATGGATGATTCAAAACTATGCGATATGGCTGGGGCTAAAAGACAAAATTTGCAAGACTGTATTTGAAATTAATTGTGTAAACGCTTATTGTTAAGTATTAGAAAAAGAACCCAATTATTGGCTAAGAATAGATGTAGTATTTATTGTCACCTGTTGAACAAAGAATGGAAACATCATTTGTGAAAGAAACTTCTGGTAGAAGTTTCGAACATTGATTTGCAAAGAGAAAAGAAGGCTGCTTAAATTGACAGTGCATACTGTCAATCACAGATAAACAAGACTCTACTACTGTATTTTATTTTCTCATGACGGTGGATTCTTTTTTTTATGATCTTTAATATCAGGGAGACAGAAAATCCTAGGGTCAGCAAAACCTGGAAATTCAGGGAGTAGGGGAAGATAATTTTCCTAGACATTCTGAAATCACTTATTTTCCAAAGAAGTTTTGTTTCCTTCTGTAGAATACCGCCTTAATATTTCTGTAATTTTCTCTGAAAAACATTTTATTTTTTCCCCCAAATTTACTAATACTATTCTTCAGTAAGTCCTCGCCTCGTGAAATCTAATGTTTGATTGATCTGTTGGAAAGGAGAAGAGAGAATAATCTAAAATGAAATGAAAAGGAAACGCAAAAGATATCGACTAAAGGAGGAAAAACATCAGGAAGATAGAAAAGGATTAAATATTCCAATTGGTTTTTTGTAGCTTTGTAGTTCTTCCTCTTTCAAAGAATGCTTCGCCTGTAATTAAATCGGTAAATACTTGAACACACTATCTAGGGTTTCTGAGAGAACTCTTAGATAGTAAAAAAGGTACCTGTTACAGATAGATGCATCCAAGATACTATACTCATTTCAACGTAGGCCTTACGATGTCTTTAACTCCTTGTCATTTGCCACAAACAATTTGTTCCACATCTACATCAACTCAAGATTAACTTTGGCTGGGCAAAGTTTAGGTAGGAGACTTTATTTGCGATTTTCAATTTTAAGGTATGGATCTAAATTATTTTTTTGTCTGTTTTAGGATCTACCTAATGCAATGAACGCTGCAGAAATAACTGACAAATTGGGTTTACATTCTCTACGTAATCGTAATTGGTATATTCAAGCAACGTGTGCTACTAGTGGTGATGGATTATATGAAGGTTTGGACTGGCTATCTAATCAGTTAAAAAATGCAAACCGTTAGTAAATATTTTCAAAAAACTATGTTCTTGTTTCTTTTTTGTATTGATTTTTTAATTTTTTTTTATTCTAATTCTAACTTCGGTTCTTGTTTATTCTTTTTTGTATCTTATTTTTTTAAATGTCCTCTCCTCGGAGAAGCCTTGTTTGCGATTAGACACATTTTAGTGAATAATTGTATAATTTCCAATTTTATTTTACTCTGTAATTAGATATTTGTCTATTTTTTAATTTATCAATTTATTTCATTTCAATTGTTTTATTCCCCCCCCCCTTTTTTTCTTTTCAAATTTCATTATTGTATGAAAGTTGTAAATTGAAATTATATTATTTATCATTATTACAGTTGCTGGGAGTCTCTTATATGTTACATTTTCTGTTATTTTATGCTAAGTTTGATCGTGAACAAGGTTTTTACAAGACATTGTGAATAAACAAGATGAGGTATTCAAAGGCTGTTACTATGAATGCAACTTACGTTCCCCTGCCAGATCTCTTAAGTGCAGTCTAAACTTATGATTAAATATTTACCTCAGTTGTCATGAAATGCTACTTTCCTAGGCCTTTGAATACAAACTCTCCTTCTGCCCTCTTTTTTTTTACTTTCGAGTTATTTAATGAAAAATTGTGTATTTTCTGTGAGAAAAGTAGTTATTTGACTGCTGAGTTCTGCGCCTGTAGAACCGTCTCTCGACCCTCTTGGATTTAGAATAAACCTGAATATTTTGGAATCTGAAATCTCATCATTCGATTTATTCCATTTTCTATGTATTCCATAAGAATGACTAGTTTCGTAAAAGATTGTTACTTTTGACAGAAATTCAAATTATTTAGGTGATCTGCGTAACAAAGTAAAATAATGGAGCACTTATTCAATTTATTTTTGTAGACGACATTAGAAATTGTGTGCTGCCATACTTCAAAATTTTCACCTACAACATGTAAATAACTTAAAGATCGCAAGACAATGCATGCAAGCATCAAACGTTTGTGAAAGTAATTTTAAAATAAATTAAGTTTAAATGTTAATTTATTTATTCTTGCATGCACCTTTACATATTTGATGTGCATGCACGAATAAACTGAATGTATTTAAAATCAACATGATCGATGTAACGAATCTTATGTTAGATTTTGTATTTATTTAATATATTATTCGTCATGAATATTTTTTTCCTACTGGTATTTATTTTTATTCTTTTTATCAGAGCATATTACCTCCAAATTCTAATAAGCTTATTGGGAAATGCCTCCTCTGAAAGTCATTACTGGCTAAGTCTGAATTTATCTTCTAATCTTAAGGCAAGATTATCACATTTAAATCATGGAAATTTTTTAGTGATGGTGCGGGGACACATTGCAGGGAAACCTATTGTTATTTATTGATGATAAAACTATGAAAATATCTACGATGAAAGTGCAAAATGTAAGTCTTGGCTTGCGATATTGCAGACTTTCTGCAATAATTTATTTTTCAAATCGAAGAATCCATAGCTTTTTTTTTTAAAAAAAACTTTCTTGATTTTTCTGCTCTACATAAAAAATATTATGTTAAAATATCAAGCGAAAGAGTTGGTTCGTTCTTCTTTTATGAAATATAATGGGAGGAATGATTTTGAAACACCGCAAACAAGTTATACGTTTTTGCAACTGCACCACAGACACCTCAATATTCGAGGTTTTAATGTTTTACTCTCTCATATCGGTATCTACATCAGAAAACCATTGCATTTTTTAGAAATTTTTGGAGAATATTTTTAGAAAGAATACTTATAGAAAAATCAAACAAAATTAAAGAAATTATGTATGAGCGGTTACTTTTCCTGCCATGGAATTAAAACGATTTGGAGTTCGCAAAATTTCAAGCCAAGACGGCGGTTTTTCTAGTTTGAGCAAATAATTAAAATACGTTCTTTTTATTTCAACGTTTTTTTCCTTTTGATGAGGTTGCCCTGTTGTGCTTGTGCTGAGATATGATTATTTCTGTTCTGATCAACTACTTGATTGAAAGTATTGGTGCAAATGTTGCCCTGTCTCCTATTTGTCTTAATAACGAGAGAGTTTTGAGTCTCGCTGAATCAACGACCATATCGTCAAAAGGCAAGTAAGTCTCTCTTGCAAAGGCAAATTTTTGGTGACCAGCCCCTTCTCTTGCTACATCATGTTTAAATAATACCCATCCAAAAAATTCAAGAGCGCCTGAATAAAGTTCTCTTATGTTTATCTGTTAGCATACAGTCATCCTCATCAGGGCACATTATGGAGATGGATGTTTAAAATACTTGCTCAGTGCAGAAATGTTACAACTTAGACGAATTCTTTGAACATTTAATTCAATTTTAATAGGTTTAAAAATGGTAATGAATAAGAAGAAGTGATACTTTCAAAAAATGAGTTGTGTTCTCACTAGCACCGCAGACAACTGTACTTTTTATCTCTGTGAAGGTAAGTCGAAAGCTTAATTTTTACTAGGAGTCCAAATATTTTGAATTTAGGTGAACGTCTAAACAGGACGGACCGTCCGTAGCAGAGAGTAATAGAGTATGGAAAGTAGAACTCTGTTCTGTACCAATTGTACCATGCCCACAAGGAGGAATCAGAAAGATTCAAATAAGCGCGCCTACAAAATCTGCACCAGTGCCACCTTGCAAGATGCCAACATCCCAACCACAGCTAATTTCGTCATATATGAGTAAATATCCATTTGATCCCGCAGAAGCGACTCAGCTTGTCATAAAACTACCTAAAAAGTCACTCTCTTTAATCTTTACCACTTTCTCTGTAGAATTTAAATATTTATGATGAAAAACTTTCAATTAAGAATAGGCCTTCCAACGCAAGTAGTGAGTTCTACGTTAAAGTCGTTGGTTGCCATGTAGGCTTTAGTGTAAACAAATGCTGCCTTCATTTTGCGGAGAGCTTTAGCGTGGAAATGATGAGCCTTGGTAGTAATTTCTCTATCACTTTTTCAAGGCTCATTGTAGTCGAGCACTTAATTGCTTTCGAACAAGCTTTTCCAAGGCCAGTAAGCTGGTGGTGCTCGTGATGTGTTAGATGCAGATGCATGATGCATCATCCAGTCTGAGTTTACATTTTGTTTCGGTCGATGATCCTCCGTACCTGTTTGTGCCTAATTGTTTAGTGACTGTGATAATAAAATGCGTAAAGTCTTTCATTTTGGCGTCTGAATTAATTTCGGTGAGTTTTCTACGAAGTTTAATTTTAACCTTACATTTTCCCTCTCTTTGAGTGCATTTTATTCGTTACGTAATGGTGTTTTCCAGAGGCCGTTATCATCACATGGCTTTGTTTATGTGCACTCAGAGGTTGCCTGTTGAAATACAAATAAAAATAATCATATGGTTTTCGGAAGCATTGCCCGAATTGGCGCACGTATTTATTTCAGATTTGCCCCTATTTGTGGTTGAAATCTTAGTTTGTAAGAAATTCATGCACTTCTGTATTAGGCGTCTCTTATGAATGGACAAGTCTTGTATTCTGTGTCGTCCAAATTTTATTCCCTGCAACTCGGAGAGTCTGAATTCTGAAGCATTTACGAGCACAGAAGTATTTCTTAATTGCCGCCGAAGGTCAATTATTTGCTCTTGCTTTTAAATTTTTATGCGGTAAAATTTATTTAAGAGCTGATGCAATACATGTAGTCAACCAGTGAGTTTTCCGTAATCATACAGTTTTGCCGGAGGTAATCATGGCTGGATATTTCCTTCATTTTTTTTCACCCAAAATTTTTCAAAGCTCCCTGAGGTTGTTTAATAAAATACAGGAACTGCTGAAATGCACTTTGGGGTGCAGTGAATCAAAGTTTGCTGTCGAGTGTAGACTATCGTTTACACAAGCCACTAAAACTCAGGAAACTTTAACATAAAAAGTTTTATCAGGGAATTCATCCAGGAATTCCATTCCATAGCTAGGACAAGTCAATGTGTCAGCTTCGACAGTTGGAAATCGTTACTTACTGCAGTAGTGAGGCACCGCTGCGTTAAAAGTGTATCCAGGGTCCCTCCTGTTCAAGCATCATCAAAATCTAGTAATCCAATCTAATGTAGAGGCCACACCAAATCAGTTCATCTAACTTTGAGAGGAAGGCAGATGATCTGCCATCCTGATTCTCACATTTATTTTTCATAGTTAAGTAAAGATGGCAAATCTTTAGTTTCAATTTAAAAGTGGATGTGGTTATTTTACATGAACCCGCTGAAAATAGTACTGTTGAGGCTTGAGCTTTATGGGAGGGCTGGCGATTTTTAATCTTTTATTTGAAAAATTGATTTTTTGCGCCGAAAAATTGTTTAAATCAAATCAATTTTTGGAGGACAATGTAAAGTCAGGATCGATTTTTTGAGCCGAAATCAAATTATGTTTGATAATAAGTTGAAATCTCTGGCATTGATGTGACACACAAGGCGTAGGTTCTCGGAAACCCGAGTTTCATTTCAAGTTCAGTTTTAGTAGTATTTTAGTATTTGACGCCGAACTTGGATTTCTAAGTGTTTTAAAATCGAATCAATTTTTTGCCGAAAATCAAATCACTTTATTCAAAAAAGATCGCCACCCCTACTTTACAACAACTTTGGTACTCTGGGGGATAACTGCTTTGCAAAACTAGGGCTTAAAAGTTCAAGAAAAATTATCAAAAATATTAAGGCATATCTACTTAAATGTAAAGTACTGGACCCCAGTACCGTAGACCCAGTATCCCCACCGCGGGCCTGGCCCTCAAAATGCGATTTTCAGTGGTTCTCCGGATAGAGATAATGGACGGGTGGTCTGGATCACCCGGTATAATTTATAATCAAATAGGTAATAAAATTTGAAATGGAACAAACAGTAAATTTGGTTAAAAAGTATCTTGGTCCAGTGAAAATCAAACCTGGGGTTGTATTCATGGTAGTTAGCACTGTAGCCCTTGACCTCTGAATATCTGGATGTATAATAATTCATGCTCATCAATACAAAGTTCTTTGATATGAAAAGTTTGATATACAAGGAAAAGCTGTTTCCCATTGGAAAATATCGGGCTTAAAATTATGTACAGTAAATCCATGTATGTATCTCCCTTCACCCCTGAATTTAAAATGTATGGAATTCTATGATCTAGAATCAGGATCTAGCAGTTCAGGTGAATGAATTAAGGACGTCTCTATAAAATTTTAAATTTTTATAAAATTTCTATAAAATCTGACCCTTTTTTTACACCATAGGTAACAAAATAATGCTCGTTCAACTCAAAACATTGCAAGGAGCAATAAGGAATTTAATAATTTATAATTATATTAAAATGATCAAATCAATTTAAAATAATTTAATGATTCTAGCTGACCAGAAATAGACCCAACTTCTACTCCAAACGCAGGAACAGTTTAAGTATGAAGAACATCTACGCATCAAGAGATGAAAATGAGTTGGGTTCGAACCCATCATGCAACTATTTTAACTCTGCGGTTAGCCGGGTTGCATATACTCGATTTTGCGGGCGATATCTAAGATCTGCCCTCGGCCTATGCGCTTGCTCGCAATACGGATCTCGCAACACGGATCTCGCAATAGAGTACACGTACCGGTGGGATCAGTGTTTTCCACGAGCGTATGCAAACTAGCCTACCGCGGAGTTAAAATAGCTACTTGTTTTGTCGAAACCAAACTTCGAGTATTCTTCCATTGTTGTACGGTCAATGCATTATTCAGTTGGCGGGAGTTTAAACAGTTGGCCGAAATAGACCTCCCCTCTAGAAAAAGACTAATTTTACCTGTACCTTATCATGATAGCCGTGAGTAGATCTCACATTTCGCCCGCAAAATCGAGCGTATGCAACCTGGCCCACCGCGAAGTTCAAATAGTTGCATGTTAGGTTTGAACCTAACTCCGAACCTTCTTCCATCATTTTACGCTTCGCGCATTATTCAAATGCCGAATTTATCTTTCCGAAAGGCTTCTCAGTTGGCTTCTATCGCGTTATTTTCTTTGTAATGTGTTTTTTTCTTATTGTTAGCTGAGGAGCCTGGAGGAAGTTATACGGGATATTCTCGGATGATTCTAATTTCAAAGGGCGTAAAACTGAGTCAAATCTGCAAGGGGCATCGGTACTTTTTCCGATTTTTCGGACCCTCCCTTCCTCCGTGCAGTCCTTTCTCCCCCTCCTATCATCTTTCCATACGGGTTGCCAGATGATGCCGGGCACCCTCCCCCTAAGTACCGGACATCATCAATGCAGGGTGTTCCAAAAGTCCAGCCCCCCTCTAACTTTTGAACTTTTCGAGATGAAGAAACGAAGCTTTGGAATGGTTCTATCTTGAAGGGGGCCATCTCCTGAGGGGGGGGGGGGGGTAAAAATTTCTAAAGTTAGAGGGGAAGAGGCTAGACATTCGGAACACCCTGTATAGACGACTCCAAACGATTTGCACTCAATCGAAACCAGAATTGACGAAGAGCAACTTGAGCAAGTACTCTCCGTCGTTTGTTGTCGTTCATCAGAGTGTCTACAAGTCCTGAATTTCCGAAAAGTCCGGATATAGTACTGATTTTTTAAGGGCGGTCCGAAAGTGCTGAAAAAGTGCGGAATTGCGCGAAAAGGTCCGGAATTTTTGTCGCAATTCGAGCGAAAAATTCAATTTTTTGAAAACTCTCAACTTTCGTTAATTCGAGGTACTAAAAATACTGAATTTCTCCTATGAGGAGGCACTGAATTTCTCGGAAATGGACTGAAAAAGCACTGATTTTTGGTCAGCCTGTTCTAGTAGACACCCTCACTGGAAAAAAAACACATTGGATCTAGAGTCCAGACTCTTGAAAACATTGACAAGAAAAAATACTCTTGATTCAATCAGATTTAAGCTTAAATCAAAAGGAAATCCGCTCCAATTAAGAGACTTGGTTCTTGATTCAAGCTTAAATCCGATTGAATCAAGAGTATTTTTTTTGTCAAAGTTTTCAAGAGTCTGGACTCTACAGGGTGAGCGAAAAGTCCCCGACCCCCCCTCTAACTTTTGAACGAATTGAGCTAAGGAAATGAAACTTTGAGAATGTTCCTATCTCAAAGGGGACCATCTTTTGAGGGGGTCAAAATTTTGGTCCTCCCCTCAGGGGGGACAGGGGCCCCCCAACTTTTTTTTTTCAAATAGCAACCCCTATCTTGTGATACCTCATTCGAAAGAGCATAAAAAACTAAGAATTTTGGCGCAAACCGCAGATCAATATCT